CCCCAAAACCCCAAAACCCCAAAACCCCATTGGGAAAAAATTTAAAACTTCAATATTAGGTAATTACAGAAATATTTTAATGGAATTAATTAATTTTATAAATGAATATCATTTAGTTGTCATCTCAAATACTGAGATCAAATCAAGCTAATCTGCTAAGTAGAACAGTTTCTGTCAACAAATTTAGCCAAAATATATAGTTAACTAGCCATAGTAATAGACAGATATTTTTTATGAGAAGAATGCTGAACAAACCCGTTAAGAAAGACTCAGATATTAGGCACAATTATGATGAAGACACATATCTCAAAGCTTTGAAGAAATTTACAAAGGAATCTAGGGGTCTCACACCAGGAACTCAAGAGCATACAAATATAAGAAACAAAATCTATGCTGAATTAAGAGAATAAAAGGCTAAAGAAGCACAACAAATCAAATAAAGCAAAGAAATGTTTAAATAGCATCAATAAGACATGGTAGTTGCTGAATTCAGTTCATTCTATTGCCTGCTAATTGTCGTGCCTGAATCAATTGAATGTTATGAAACAGCCCATATTTTGAGATACTATGATTTTCCGATCAACATTGAAGAAGACAATATCTTAAAGCAAGAAGTTAAAAAAGAAATGGGTTTCAGGAAAGATGATTAGGTAAGTCTAGTGCAATATTATGCATATGAAATCTCATCAAATTCATTCAACTTAATAATTTATCGAATTTAGTATCCATTGCTGTTGATTGATTCTTCATCAAATGAAATGCCTAGTTGCGAACTCACTACCCAGTATTAAATCACTTCTTTTCTGGAGTCCTAATAATTTATAAGTGATTACAAAACCCACAGTGCTTTTGAAAAATAAGGACTTGAGTAAATCCCATTTTTATGATCCTTATATAGATTTTTGGACTAGAATGTTACTCCTTTGATCGAAGATATTTACAAAGATTTCAGACCTTTGATGCAATTTTATCTCCACCCAAAGCATTTCAAAAAGGCCAATATTGTGCAAGAGCCAGGCATTTTCCTTAGATCTTATCTGTAACTAAAATCAATTTTAATTAATGTCAAATAATAGTTGGAAATTTTACAAAACTTTTTACTTCTATATAAAGAATAGATCATCTAGGTCTAAAATGAGCAAGAGAGAAAAATATGCCAAGTTACAAAAGTAGTTAGATGTGTTTGTAGAAAGACTTCAGGGAAATCTTTATCATGGAGTCGATAGACCAGATGCAGTAGATTTTAGAGTAATCATTTAATAGTTATTAATGCATTTAGTTGTATTCAGTTCTTTTCAAGCATAGCCATACCTTCACTCTTAAGAATATATTCTTTGCAAGAGGAAAGCAAGATAAATTGCAGTTGTGGTTTAAAAACATGGATAAAGTCTGCTAGAATAGAACTACCATCTGAAGATTAAATTGATCTTAATTAACAATTAATCACTATAGTTATCTCAAGCAAAATAGTTGATATTCTTCGTTTTGGGGTTTTGGGGTTTTGGGGTTTTGGGG